GCCCACACTTGTCTTCTTGGAAGCTTTAAGGAGAATGCATGTGCAAACTGCATGCCATGTTAAAACACAATGATGGAAAATAAATTAGGATAAATTTTAAATAAACAGCTAACTAAATCAATTAGAACACTAGGCAAAAGCGCCAAACATTACGGGTTCTAATAAGTCACAGAAAAAATTCCAACACCTGATACAAATGCCCTATCCAGTCTAATTATCCAAGCGAAAATCTTGGTTCAAGCCACTGACTATGTTGGAACTGGGTATGTCTGAAGCATAGGGGCCTATATCTGGATATTCACATTAATAGTTAACATTTAATGTGTATTATTGCATCTAACACTAACTAGTTACTAACTAACATTTAAAATGTATTATTTCATTTAAGGTGAACCATTAAACCAATCCTATGAAATGGTTACTTAGGGTACCATTTGATAAGGAACTTGAGGCTCAGAGAGGTTAAGTAGCTTCTCTAATGTTACACAGTACTAAGTAGCAGAATTTGAACCCACATCTATCCAAATCCAAGTTCCCCTCATATGCTCTGTACCCCTCTGCCTCTCATGGTCAGAACTGAGCATTTCTAGAATCTGCTGGGCTGCTAGAAAACTATAGAACCGGCCTGTTATCTGTCTCCAGCCAAAGAAATTTCCTCAACAGAAAGCTCTTGGTACCCAAACGACTCAAAACATGTTTCAAAGGTAATTTCTCTAAGGAAGTGCTGCGTTATAAGATACAACTAACCCGATAAGAAAGACAGGCATCTCACATGCTTAATAGTTCAAAACCTTCCTGTTATCTTCAAAGCTTAATTCTCACCTTTTGAGAAATTAACGAAAGAATAATGAAGGGAAAGCCTGAGATGTAAGAAAACCATTTTCTGTACGTGCAAGTTAAGTGTTCCTCAGGATTATTCTGGATACTAATATATGAAACTTCCTGGTTACAGCTAAAATTTTGTCAGTAAAGGAACATGGAGGTTGGGTGTGGTGGCTCACATCTGTAATGCCAGCACTTTAGGTGGTCAAGATGGGAGGATGCCCTGAGCCCAGGAGTTTGAGGCCAACCTGGGCAGTGTAGCAATACCCCATCTGTACAGGGCGAGGGGAACCATTAGCCAGGCATGGTGGTGTGTACCTATAGTCCCAGCTACTCGGGAGGCTGAGGTGGGAGGATCACTTGAGCCTGGGAGGTAGAGGCTGCAGTGAGCCGTGATTGCACCACTGCACTCCAGCCTGGGTGTCACAGCAAGACCCTGTTTGCAGAAAACAAAAATTCTTATACTAACATAGCCATGTGAAATATTTTAATACTTGCCCATATTAAGCACGGTGACACTGTGTATGCACTCCTGAGAACTGAGTCCTGGTGGAGGCTCCGAAGAGGATTCTGGAACTCTCTAGCCTCCAAGGAGTCCCGCAGTCAGGGAGTTTGCAGAGAGCTGCCTTGGGTCAATGCTACAGAAGCCAGAGAAGGTGGAATCTGGAAATCAAATTCACTTCCGCCCAACTTCCCAAAAAATATACTGTTATTCTTCGTTAGCTACTTCTTTAGGAAAATTTTAGAATGATCTCGCTTTTCACCACCTAATGTTATACCAGAAACATGTTTTTTCAGGAAGCAAGTGTCTATCTTTTCTTCCTTAATAAAAGCCAAGGCTTCAAAGAGATAACAGAGCTGAACCGAAATAGCTAAGCCATTCTCCCCTTTTATAAATATTACATAAAGTCTCTTCAAAAGCCGAAGGGTATAAAGCTCCTCTGCTGAAAGCAGCCTCTCTCTTCTTACCGGGAGAGGGGGTGCTGGTGGGAGCAGAGCCGTGGGGCCAAGACTCGCACTGTGCCAGGCATCCCCTTCTTTCTCCTCCTATCAACAGTGCCCTCAGTAATGACCATGATCACGGCAGCGCCAGGCAGGGGCAGCAAGGGTCACACCCAGATCCTCAGTTCCAGAGACATCTGCTCCGTTGCTGACAGCAAGGACCCTTATGGAACGCAAGAGACCAACACACGCCAAGGCTGAGAGGTTAAAGAGTACACAAACAAAGTTGAATGGCACGTATTTTCATTAAGGCTACAAAACGCAAATCAACTACGTTTCCTCCCTTTTCCTTCTGCCAAGACGTGGCAATAGCATCAACTCCGATCTCTGTCCCCATCAAAACCATGGATTCACAGTAAACTTGACTCTGCCGTTCTCTCCATGCCTAACTGGGTATCCGTCACCTTAAGGGTCTCCTGAACACCTCCCTTCTTCTCACTTGTCACGGCCTGGACCTGATCTCACACATTCATGGGCCTAACCCATCATTCTTTCATTTTCTTCATTCCTCAACTATTTCTGAGCATCTACTGTGCTCCAGACACTATTGTAAAAACATGAATATTGTACAGCTTTTGTCTTCCCAATGTCCCAGTGGAGAAGAGAGACTTCTGGATTAAAAAAAAAAAAATCATGGCAGGGCCCAGTGACTCACTTTGGGAGGCCAAGGCAGGCAGATCACAAGGTCAAGAGATAGAGACCATCCTAGCCAACATGATGAAACCCTGTCTCTACTAAAAATACAAAAACTAGCTGGTGTGGTGGCGCACACCTGTAGTCCCAGCTACTCAGGAGGCTGAGGCAGGAGAATCGCTTGAACCCAGGAGGTCAATGTTGCAGTGAGCCGGGATCACACCACTGCACTCCAGCCTGGTGACAAAGCTAGAATGTCTCAAAAGAAAAAAAATCATTACAATCCTATGTAACAGGAGTCACAAAGCAAGGCACACATCCACCTTCACAGAAGAGGGAGTGGCTATGTTAGCCTGGTGCAAACAGAGAAGGTTTTACACAGGTGGTGATGTCTACCAGACTCTCAGAAGTAAAAGGATTTCAGGTGCAAAAGAGTGAGAAAGAGAGAAAACAGAATTCGTAAAGGCACCAAGAGCCGAAAAAGTACGCTCTGGTCCAGGAAGGGCAGTAGGTTCCAAATGGCTGGAATGCCAACTGCATGGAAGGATAAGGTTGTGTTCAGATTCAGAAAGGCCTTGTACACCACCCCAACAAACCTGGAGAAATGTGGACAGAGTTTAAACCAAAGCCATGTCAGCCTGAAGAAGTGCTTTATTTCACTCATCACAGATTTTTCAAATGTTGGAATAGCCAACATCTAAAAATTAGCAAATTTCATATAAAAATATAGAATCAGGCCAGGTGCAGTGGCTCACGCCTATAATCCCAGCAATTTGGGAGGCCAAGGGGGGTGGATCACAAGGAGTTACAGCAGTCAGGAGTTTGAGACCAGCCTGGCCAAAATGGCAAAACCCCATCTCTACTCAAAATACAAAAAAAGTAGCCAGGTATGGTGGCGTGTGCCTGTAATCCCAGCTACTCCAGAGGCTGAGGCAGGAGAATTGCTTGAACCTGGGAGGCACAGGTTGCAGTGAGCCGAGATCGCACCACTGCGCTCCACCCTGGGTGATAAAATGAGACTCTGTCTCAAAAACTAAAAAATAAAAATATAAAAAAGTATAGAATCTTGGCTCCTTTAAGAAAATAATCTAGCACACTGGGCCAACATTCCTATGGTGACACGTGTCTGAGAAGCAGGTGCAGCAGCTGGCCCCTTCAGGTGGCATACATACCACAGAGTTCATGACTGTCCTCACTTGAAGACATGCGAATTTGCAATCCCTGATTTTAAGGGAGAGGATAATACCATAGACCGGTGGGGGGACAGTTTACAGGAAAGTAACACTGAAAGTGATCCAGTGATTAAACCGCGCAGAGAAACTGAAGGTAACAAGGAAAGTTAGGAGGATTTCACCACAGCATGAGGAAGTAACAAAAGCCTGAGCCAAGTTAGGAGAATAAGCACTCTAAAAGAAAGTAAAGATTCAAGAATGCTCCAAGCACAAGAATGCTTATTAATCACGGAACTCTTGTGTGTCAACTGTTCATGGACAGACTGTATTGGGAGACGGAAAGACTCAAAATTAATTCTCAATTAAAAAATAAAGTGGCTATTAAACTAACTGTGGAAAACCCACTCCAATGCCATAAAGCAGAGACAACCGATGAGACACAGCTGTCTGTGTAATTCTCATTGTGGACTCTCAGGATCGCTTTCCAGGTGGAAAGAAACAAATACACCTGCAAACCCTATGCGCAAAGCCCCTGACAAGTGATGCTTACAAGCAGGGGCTGGGGTCTAAACCATTATTATCGCTCACAGCAGGACCAACAGTGACTTGGCAAACTTAGAAACCCTTGCAGCTCATCCACGGGAGGGTCCTGCCCGGGAACTCACACAGGCCGTTGACATCCAGCATGTTGGAGATGCCCCGGTCACTCATGTCCACTTCGGGCTGGTTCTTCTCCCGGCTCTCCTCCACCAACTTCTTCAGAGACTTGGACATGGTCTGCAGCAAACGACAACAACAAAGCACGTGGGCGATGGCAGCAAGGCCAGGGGCGGAAAGAGGCCTTCGCTGCCACTCTGGGGCTTCCCCAGGGTTGGAAAGGGTGGGCGTCCGAGGGCGTCCCCGGGGCTGGTCCGGGCGCGGGAGGAGGATGGAGCGGGGCAGGGGAGTGGGAAGGATCCAGCCGCGCTCCGGCCACGCAGAGAAGCAACCCCAAGTGCAACGCCCCACACACTCACCGCGGAGAGCAGCCCCTATGAGGGTGGGTGTGCAACCACAAGCTTCGGCAGGACGCACTCCGGCGGCGGGAGATGCCCTGGGTCCGGGCAACACCGGCACCGAACAGCGAACACGCCCTGTCTCGCCGCCCCGCGCAGGCGCACACGGCGCCGCTGCCAGCTCCACGCCCGACCCTACCCAAATTAGGAGAACAGCTAGCTAGACGTGGCTCCCGGGCCAGACTCCACCCTTAAAAGTATGTGGAGGAGGATGGCCAATCACGTTTGTTATTCGGCTTCGAGACCCCGCCCCACGCCGAGGCTAGTTAAATTCCGTGGCGAACACGCCGCGGCTTGGGACTCTGATTGGGTCGAAGTTGGTACGTGCGTGCTGGGTTTGGCGCATGCTCAGTTGGTGGGTCGCGGCCCACAGGGCTGTGGGCGGAAGCGGGTAAGTTTTTGGCTCGACTGCGTAAGGGAGGGTGGTGACTGAGGGTGGGTGTTGCGAAAGCTGGAAGTAAATTGTCTACAAATGTTCCGCTTCTGTAATTGCAGCTCCACTGGCCAGAAGTTGCTACCCTGAGTCCCGTCTCCACATTGTGTCTCTGAGGGATTCTGTGGGTCACGCAGCCTCCCAATCTATTAAGAGCTCCCCAGGTAGGGATTCCAGCGCGGTCTGCGTTTTCCCAGTGCCCTGCTGGAAATCTTTTTTAATATCTTGTTGGTTTCTAAGGCTGGCTTTTACCGCTGACCCTTTTGCTCTTGAGCAAGGAGAACTACCCTCAGGGCTAGAAGCTACAAGTAAAACCCTACCATTTTAAAAGTCATTTGAAAACACCACTAAAGCCATGTGTCTTTCCCAGTTGTGACTTTCACATCTGTGAAACATTATGTTCTGGTTTCCAGGAATCTCCCACTGTCTCTTCCAAAAGCAATCAAATTTTGAATTCTAGCAAAACTGCTGCCCTCTACCTCCCTATTTCCTGACACAGTCTCAGACATCCAGCAATATCCTGTGCTTCTCTCACTCAAAAACCTGTTCTGAAAGACAGTTACATGCTGTGGAATAGATTGGCAGCAGGCACTTTTCTCCTTTGTCACCTACATTGATGATGGAAGGATACCACACATATGCATTTATATATTGTAGATTGTAGTAGGGATCAAAGCCTTAAGATGTGGTAAAATAATAGAATCATAATTCTGAACCAGTTGTATAAAAAAAGATCTGCACTCAAATTGTTGTTTTTTTTTTTTTTTTTTTTTTTTTGCTTAAAAAACATTCCAGATGAAAAGGTTATTTCTGCATTAGTCTTCTTTGATCTAGAGCCGTTCCTTGGCTTTCATATTTATTGAACTAGACATTATTGAAGAGTACAGACCAGGTATTGTGTGGAATATCCTTTAAAGTGAGTTTGTCTGATGTTCCCTTTCAGGATATGATTTTTTGAAGAAACACCACTAAAACGATGTGTCTTTTCCTGTGCATATCAAGGTACAGATGACATTGGTTTCCCCAGTATTGGTGATGTTCACTTGGGTAAGGTGGTATCTGCCAGGTTTCTTCACTATGAAGTTACTATTTTTTTCTTTATGATTAAAAATGATGCTTGGGGGTAGGTGCTGCTTGGTTATGTCCCATTCCTCATCTAATTTTTACCCACTAGTTTTAGCATCCATTGATTTCATCTATATGTATTAGTTGGTAATCTCCGAATACATTTACTTCTTGAATCATTATATCTTTTAAAGCAAAAGTGCTTTTTTTAAAAAAAAAAAAATCAGAATTTTTCTTATTCCATCAATTTCTTTTTTGTTGTTGTTGTGACAGAGTCTTGCTCTGTTGCCAGGCTGGAGTGCAGTGGTGCAATCTCAGCTTACTGCAGCCTCTGCCACCCTGGTTGAAGCGATTCCCCTGCCTCAGCCTCCCAAGTAGCTGGAACCCCAGGCACGTGCCACCAAGCCCGGCTAATTTTTGGTATTTTAGTATAGATGGGGTATCACCATGTTGGCCAGGCTGATCTCAAACTCCTGACCTCAGGTGATCTGCCCTCGGCGTCCTAAAGTGCTGGGATTACAGGCATAAGCCACCACGCCCAGCCTTGTTCCATCAGTTTCTAACAGTGAATCTTGACTATGTAGGCTGAAGACAGTAGTACCTGTGTTGGTTGGCTAGGGCTGGCATAACAATATACCACAAACTAGATAACTGAAGCAACAGAAATTTCTCACAATTCTGGAAGTTCAAGATCAAGGTGCTAGCAGATTTGATTTATCCTGTGGCCTCTCCCCTTGGCTTGTGGATGACTGTCTTCTCTTGGTGTCTGTCCTCCCGGGGCATTTTCTCTGTGCAGTCACCCGCTTGGTGTATCTTCCTCTTCTTATGAGGACACCAGCCCTATGGGACTACAGCCTAACTCTTGTTTCTCTGTAATAACACCCTGAATTTGTTTCATGAATATACTCCCTTCTTAAGTATCCCTGAGGATAATAGTTTTTAAACCTCTCTTCTGTTCACTAAATTATGTTTCTTCAAGGGTCCATTCTTATGTGTGTTTATCTAGTCTTTCCCCTAAAAAAGAAAGATTCTTCCTCTCTCTGGTGATTGATTCTTGGTTGTTCTTTTGAGGTCAAGTGTGAAGATATGAACTGATTTTTCTAGATAGCTGCAGTGTTTTCTTTCCTCTCTTGTTTGTATCTTGTTTTCCTCCTAGGTCCCTGGGCTAATTGTTGGATTTCCTTACCGGCAAGAATCCAGTGTTCTACCTGCAGGTCATTGCCAGGCTACCTTTGCTGGTGAAGGGAAATGGTGGATTGTGAGTGCCAACTAAGGCAACTCCATTACTTTGGTTTTAGCTCCGCACACTGCACCTGCCAGCTCCACATTCATATAACACCTGAAATCGAGAGTCCCAATGCTGGGCCGTCTGCAGACCCTGGCCCAGCAACGGATGAAAGGAGTACTCAGACACACGTATACAGTGTAAGAGCAGCCAGGGGGCTGCCTGACACTAGTGGCCAAAGAAGAGAGCAGCCCCAAACAGCTGAAGCTGGTTTTTTGTGGGGGTTTTTTGTTTTTTTTGTTTTTTTTTTTTTGAGACAGAGTCTTGCACTGACACCCAAGCTTGAGTGCAGTGGCATAATCTCAGCTCACTGCAACTTGCACCTCCCAGGTTCAAGCGATTCTCCTGCCTTAGCCTCTGAGGAACTGAGATTACAGGCACCCAACACCAAGCCCGGCTGCATTTCTTTTGTATTTTTAGTAGAGGTGGGATTTCACTATGTTAAGCAGGCTGGTCTTGAACTTGTGACCTTGTGATCTGCCCGCCTCAGCCTCCCAAAGTGCTGGGATTACAGGCGTGAGCCACGGGGCCTGGCCTGCTGCTTGCTTTTATTCAGTACAGACATATTGCTGAAGCCTGGAGCTAACACAGTCTGTGGGTAATTAACATTATTGTTGTATAATAATGTTATTTATTACAATAATAATGTTATTGTTTCTCATTCCATTTGAATTACTCAAAACTGATTATAACTACTTCCCTTTGCTATACATGAAAATGGCATCCTCCCAAACCTGACCATTCCCTTACCCACTAAAAAAAATCAGTGTTTATTTCCTGGATGCCTGGTGTGGAAGATTTTGTAAAGCTTCATTTTGTCTCTTTTTTCTGCATTTTTAATTTTAAAATTACATAATAGCATTGACTATCCTTTCCTCAATTTCATGTACACACCTCCCGGATATTCCAATATGCCTCCTAGGAAAGCATGCCCTTCTGAGTGGAGATGATACTGTTACTCTAATGACGCAATCTATGATCAAAGCGTCAATTTTTTTTGACAGCTACGTCATGTTAATCTTGCTTTCAGAAGAGTACTGTGTCATTTCATGTTATCATTAAACTTTCCCTGTATTCTGTACCTTTGCAATTCATTTTTTACATAAAAGAGGAAGATCTCACAGCTGTCACATTTTATCTGTTACTGTTGGCCCATTGTTGTAGCTTATCAAGACCCCTTGGATTTGTTATTCATTGCATTCACTGTCCTTTCCAATAGAAATGTCATCTATAAAGTTGATGTATCTATCCATAACACAAAAAGGGAGGAGGAATTCTTTTTTTTTTCAGATGGAGTCTCATTCTGTCACCCAGGCTAGAGTGCGTGGCGCAATGTCAGCTCACTGAAACCTCTTCCTCCCGGGTTCAAGTGATTCTCCTGCCTCAGCCTCCTGAGTAGCTGAATTTTTAAGGTGAGAATATTTTATTTATGTGGCTCCATACTCTGTCCTGAAATAATTTCTCTGCAAGCTGAGTATTAGAATAAGATAAAGTAATACATTCCACAGCTTCTTTCATTCACTCGGTCTCATGTTCTTAATAACCCTTAATTTTACGTAATTAACATAAAGCAAATCTCCTTTGTAAAGGCTTCTGCTTTTCGAGAGGCAGTGAAAAATTTTATAAAAGTATTGGATTTTCTTATGAAAAGGAAGCTAATAATTACCTTAGTTACATGTCTGGCAGCATTGGAGATAAGGATGTGCTATTGAACTTTCTACTTCTTGTTAAATGGCAAACCATATTGTTTATTTGTAACTTAACACATTGTGTTAAGGAATAGGCAGTGGTGGTGCTTACGGAAACTCTGTACTCGTGAGAGTAAATACATAATATAGTTTGGATATTTGTGCTTGCCCAAATCTCATGTTGAGTTGTAATACCCAGTGTTGCAGGTGGGCCTGGTGGAAGGTGTTTAGATCTTGGGGGTGGATCCCTCATGAATGGCTTGGGCTTCTCGCTCTCAGTTCACATGGTCACTTAAAAGTATGTGGCACCTGCCCCCTACTCTCGCTGTCTTGCTCCTTCTTTCACCGTGTCATTTGCCTGTTTCCTCTTCACCATCTTTCATGATTCTAAGCTTCCCGAGGCCTCCCCAGAAGCCAAGCACCATGTTTCCTATAAAGCCTAGAGAACTGTGAGCAGATTAAACCTCTTTTCTTTATAAATTATCCTGTTTCATATATTTCTCTATAGCAATGCAAGAATGATCTAATGCAGAAAATTGGTACCAGGAATGGGGTTTTGTTATAAAAATATCTGCAAATGTGGAACCGACTTTGGAACAAGGCAATGGGTAGAGGTTGGAAGAGTTTGAAGGACTCAGAAGACAGAAAGATGAGGGAAAATGTGGAACTTCTTAGAGGCCAGTTTAAAGTTGTGACTAAAATTCTGAAAGTGATAGGAATAATGAAGTCCAGGCTGCCAGGTCTAGGATGGTAATGAGGAACTTAGTGGGAACTGGAGCAAAGGTGACACATACTATGCGTTAGCAAAGAGCTTGGCTGCATTCTGTTCCTGCCCTAGGAATCTGTGGAAGTTTGAACTTACAAGTGGCAACCTGGGGTATCTGGTGGAAAAAAATTCTAAGCAGCAAAGTGTTCATGATTTGGCCTGGCTGCTTCTAATAGCACGTGCTCAGATGTGGGAGCCAAGAAATGACTTCAAGTTGGAACTTATATTAAAAAGGAAAGCAGAGTGTAAAATTTTACAGCCTGGCCATATGGCAGAGAAAAAAAAAAGCTTTTCAGGAGAGGAATTCAAGCAGGCTGTGGATTATACACTTGCTAGAGATATTTGCGTAACTAAAAGGGAGTAAAGTGCTAATATCCAAGATAATGGAGAAAAGGCCTCATAGGCATTGCAGAAACCCCTCCCATCACGCCCGGAGGTCTAGGAGGAAAGAATGATTTCATGGGCCAAGTCCAGGGCCCTGCTTCCCTGTACAGCCTCAAGACACTGCTCCCCACATCCTGGTCACTCCCTCTCCAGGTGTGGCTCAAAGGGGCCCAGGTACAACTTGGTATGCCACTCTGGAGAAGGAAAGCCATAAGCCTTGGCAGCTTCCACATAGTGTTAAACCTGCAGGCACACAGAGTAGGAGACTGGTAGATTCTTGGCAGCTTCTGCATAGATTTCAGAGGCGGTATGGAGAAGCCTGGGTTTCCAGGAAGAAGCCTTCTGCAGGGGCAGAATCCTCACAGAGAACCTCTACTAGGGCAGTATAGCAGGGAAATGTGGGGTTGGAGACCCCACACTGAGTTCCTTCTAGGGCACTGCCTAGTGGAGCTGTGTGAAGAGGGCCACCATTCTACAAGGGAGTGGAGAATACTCAGATAACCAGGAGAGCACAGGGTCCTGGGGATAAATAAAGAAAAGCTTCAGTGTGGCCAGGAAAAACAGAAGTTTGAGACAAATGGGAGGGAAATAGAGAATTCAGAGGTTACAGCAGATTTCTCTGTAGTCAACACAAGGCCTTGGGAGAAGCTGAGATTGACATAGGGGCATGGCAAGAGGTAAACATAGGGCCTGGCTTTGGAGGAGTGTGGGAAAAGCAGGTGCATCTGTATGGTATGAAGGTGAGTCATACTACTACTAATGGACATAGAAGCTACCACTTACTGATTACTTAATATGTACCAGGTATTATTCTGCGTCTTCACACATATATACTTAATTACTGCAACCCTGTAACACA